AGTCCACCCATCTTAAAGTGGGCAAGTTGGAGAAACACTGACCTAGAGACTCTCAAAACCATTTGGCCTCCTACTTTGCCTTCCCAAGTAATGCCTTGCTTTAAAAACAAATCAACAAATCAACTTTTGATCAGATTGAAATGTCACATTATAAAAACAAAACCCAAACAAATCGACACAAAGAATGATCCCTCTCCTCGATTTTCATCAAATCTTGCTTAACTCCTGCGCCCTTTCTTTCATATTTCTTTAATGGGGAGATGCCTTCTGCTGGGTCTCCTACAAGTGAACCCTTCTGCTTACCAACCGGTGAAGAATAAAATGAAGGGACTCACCCCAACAAGGTGAGCCATGGAGACAGCCAAGCCGATAGACAATGCCGAATTGCCCCTGCTCTCACACCTGCGCTTATCAGTAACAGAAAAGATGCACATAACCACAGAAAAGGTGAGAATGATCTCCACCACAAGGGCTTGACCTGAGGATATGTCTTTGGAGACCTGCCAAAGGGTAAGAAAGGTGAGTTAAGAAAAAAACACAGGCACAACATCCACAACTTGTCCCTGTGCCCTTGTAAATTTCCCACTAGCATAGTCTTGATGCTGTCTTCCCAAAGATATGTTATTAGGAAATAAACTCCATTGTACTCAGCGGGACATCTTCATTTCCCCCCCCCCCAACTTTGGCTGCAGGTTCTATGATGTGTGTGGGGTTCTTCAATAATTGTTGCAGAAGTTGCTCACTGTTTCAGAAGAAATTACTTCCCTAAGTGTGAGTGGCAGGCTGCTGATTCAATCATATGATACCAGTGTATTGGGGGGGCTCCCCCGAGGGCACCACAGCAGTGGTAGACTCTCTTCCTTGCCACTGCAGGGCCATCACTGTCTGTGAACTCCAAAGCTTCAGCTCCCTTGCCTGGGTCTTCTTTAAATGCCTCTGTGCCATCCTGTTGTCCCACAAGAAGATCCCAAAGGCAACAACCTTGCCTGTTCCTCTCTTCTAATACTCACAAGTGCTGTACACTGGCTTTACATGTAAAGGTTCTACCTAACAATTATGCATAATAATTTGTTATTATCTTCCCTTCTTTTTTTAAAAGGAAAACATCTCACAGCCTAAATACATGTCAACTCTAAATGCTCGCAACAAAACCAGATTGATGCTTCTGTTGTGGAAAGTTGCTTCAGAAGGGAATTTTGGGAAATCAGATCCTGCTAGATATCACAACTTATCAACCTTTGGTTAATTCCTCAGCAGAGCACCTGTTACCTATAACATAGGAGTATTTGGCAAGGTCAGAGGGGCTCTTAAAGAATTGCCCATTAGGCTTATGTTCATTCATTGACTCCGTGCAAGAGGTTGGGAGTCATGTACACAAGTTTCTATCAGATTAATGAGGGCTTTGGCAAAGAAAGACTTACATCATTGGAGAATAGCGTTCTGCGGATGTCTATGGGTGTCACCGCATAGATGATTCCTGCACCAGCAAGAGCTCCCAGCAGCTGTAGGATCACATAAAATACGAAGCGGATGATGGAGATCTGGTTCCCGACAAAGTAGGCAAGGCTGACAACTGGGTTCATATGCGCACCACTGATATGACCAAATATATGAACCAAGGTTGTGATGGTTAGTCCAAAAGCCAAAGAGATCTGGAGGACGCTAGGCTGCTCCAAAGGCCAGTTGAAGGATGAGCCCAAGGCAATACAAAGAAAGATTGCAGTGGCTACAAATTCACTTAGAATAGCCCAGGCAAACCTTGGGCTCAGAACCTCTGATCGTCTTTCAGCAGTAGTAGCCATAGTCGGTTCAGAGAAGTAGGCACCAAGTGGGTATCGACATGGAATTTGTAGGCACCACAAGCAAAGAGTAAATTTTCTGGGCCCTGCTGCATGCATTTATAGAGAGAAAGGGTTGGGTTTAACCTAGTGGAGGTGGGGCCAAGGAGAAACCTGTCAGTCATCCTTGAGGGCAATTTTGGAATTAGAACTACTGTATTTTGATGCTAAAATAGCCCAAACAATTTCCATAGCTAAGGAAAAAGCCCTAAAGTTTGGGGGAACAGGGGGAAATCTCCTTAAAGTATTGGCCTGCTTTTGAAAAGTCTTTTAGAACTATGAAGCAATTGTTTATTGTCTTTCTTTTCATTCCCATTCTCTGAGAAGCAGTGGTTGCCTTATTTTATTTTGCAACATGCAAATAAATGCAACTCTGAATCTAGCTGAGACGTATGAAGCTTCTCCTGGCTTAGGACCAAGCTCTCATATAGTCCACTATGTCTTCATCAACAGGGTGCTCTTGGGAGGTCCTGTGTGACCTCTCCAGTTCATTTTGGTTTCCCCATGGCAAAGCCCAAGTTGTAGAAGAGAAAGCTACTTGAGCTGAAGCAAGACCCTCCTGATTACAGTTGAGGAGAGGGCTCAAAACATTCTCGTTTACCCAGACCTCATAACTGGATCCATCATTTTCACAACTGTAGCTATTTTAGCCCTTTAATTATTTGCTTGAAAGGTGCATTCATTGTTTGTGTATTTCAGTGGTTTTGATTCACTTTCTGAAAGCTGTCATGAGCCATTAAGGGAGTGGGCAGTACAGGCATATTTTAAACAAACAAATAAATAAGATCTTATACACAATATGTATCTTGTGCTGCACATCCGCTAGCAGAAATTTGGGGATGAAAAGAGGAAGGTTTGGTGGGCAAGGACCATTTTCAGACTATGTTTTTCTGCTCAGCAAATGTTTCCCCTCTTTTTTGCTGATCTGAAGTTATCCTGCCTTCCACTGCTCTGGGCTATGTTGCTTTCTGGAGTCGCACATACCAATCGGAGTGATATGAACTATTATGCTAATACCAATCATATTTCCCTATGCGATGATGTCACAAAACCTATTCAGGCTGTGGGCAGGCTCTTTACTGGTTTCTGAGAGCGAGCTATGCGTCTTTCATTTTCATAGTTCCCATTATCCAAACAGGATGGATAATGCATGCATGGAGCAGAAATGCTTGTAAAGCATACTGGTACAAATAGTCTTTCAGAAATTTCTTCTATTTAGACATTTTTGTTCACAGACTTGAGACACTGAATAGATCAAAAGGACCATTTAATATATTTGCTTGGTAAGTTGTACATAACGTGAAAAAATAATCTTATTAGGTGGCAGCTGAAAACGAGGACCTGAATAATGAAAAGATAAATGATGAAAAGGAGCAGCATGGCAATGAACCAGTGGCAATTACAACAGCAAATATGATGATTTCAGATGTCTGAGTTCACAAAAAGTATGAGGACTGGAGTGTGTATTGGAGGATTTTTGGCATCTAACTCCTATCTCTTCTACAGCCACCGAAAATGTTTAAAGTCCATGTCTCAGAACTTTTTTTTTTTTAAATCAAAACTGGAATTAGAGCCAAAGTTTTACTTGAAGCAGCATTCAGGGCAAAAGCTGAAATTTCTTCTCAGGTGAAATACTTAATTCTGAGGGTGGCTACGGGAGTTTCAATAAGATTATGGCCAATTTTCTCAAAAAGATCCTTCATATTGTTAGGTTGTTCCTAGATTTTCCCAGTAGTAAAATTCTGCCATAATTTTTAATTTTGGGTTAAATATCTCAGAATGCTTGAAGAATTTCTAAAAGACATTCAGAATTCTGATAGGTTTCATGAACTTCTCACTAGAATATTGTAGGATGAATTTAATTTAATTTAATTTAATTTAACTTAACCAAGTGAGTCCTCCTTTTTTCAGTTTTCATTCAGGCTGAAACGAATGCCCAGAGGAACAACAGGCATGAAACAGAATTGCATTATTCTCAGTGTCTATGTTATTTTTGAATCAGTGCTGACTCCTGGCTTGGACAAGTCCCTGAAGTTTTCTCAGCAAGATTTTGGAAGTGGTTTGCTGGCCCATGTCATTTCAGAATATATTCGCCTATAAGTCTTTTCCTTTCTATTTTAAAATGTGCATTTTTTAAAATTCCACATTTAAATACTTTTTATTGTTGTTGCTTGTTTTTTTTTAAATGTACATTGCTCAGAACTTTGTTACTAACTGCATATCAGTTCAGGGTGTGTAATTCAGCTCACACCAGACTTTGCACTGATTAAATTGCTCATGAATGTCAACCCAAAACACATCTATCATCCAAACTGATGCAGATGTGCCTAGTTCCGGGTTTTTCAAACTGTGTTCTGTAGAGCCCTAGGGTTCTGCAAGAACTTGGTGAGGCTCTGTGAGAGACCAGGGGTAGGGGGGAAAAAGTTTACTCAAATGCAACCCCTCTTCTATCACTAGAGCTTTGCCTCTTGATCAAGGGTTCCAGGGATTTTTTCCAACTAACAGTTTTGTGACCTGAACAAGTTTTAAAACCTATGCCCAAGAGCATAAAACCGGTGCTTCTCTTAGCCATCTGATCTTTTATTTTACTTTGAAAACCTTTATTCCACCTCTCTCCACTCACACTCAAACAAACCAGATTAATCCATTAAAACCAACCAGGCAAAATAACAAAACAAAGTCTGTGGTAAACTAGAACTAGATCGTGAATAATCATGACAGATATATTGAGCCATATTTAGACAGAAAGGAAATTCTTGGCGTTTTATGTTACAATAATGTTACATTATATGGTTAGATGAAATGTTAGAACACCCACAAACCAACAGTTGAAGATTCCCCCTCTCTCCAGACAGCAAGATGGCCTTGGCGTTAGGAGAAGTCATTCGGGTTGCCATATAGAGGGCCACTTATAATAGCCTCCTTTTATGCATCTTGGGAAGAGGGTTCTGGTGGATGCAACCATGATTACATCACTCAATGCAATGGGAAGAAGGAACAACCTTGAGGAACAGGAGGAAGAGCCGCAACCAAGACAAGGGTCAGATAAAAGAAACCTGAGTCCAAGGCAGAAATGTAATTTGAGAAAGCATCTCAGACATGACCCTCCCTAGTTCTGATGAAGATGGGGGGGGGGGGACACAATCAAATTTGCAAGATTCTGTTACTATAACCTTATCATAAAAATAGTATTAGCTTGCGTGTCTTTGGTTTCCAAGTTTGGTCTACCTTGGAGGGCTTAGACCCAATCAGCATCTTGAATTAGGAGGAAACATAGACAGCAATATGCTGCTTCAGCACTGATAGGACTCTGTTGACTCATGTGTGACATTTGTTGGGTGACAGCACTTGTACATGCCCCAGGGTAATCCCACACCAAGAACATATTTAGAGATTAATAAGATGTAGGTGATGCATCCCTAATGTACAGGACTAGGAACCTCACCTCTGGCTTGTTTTTGCTTCTTCTGCTCCTGCCCCAGATGGGAAATATTTGCTTCCTAAGCTGCAGATGATTCTCTCTGTATTTACTTTATCCCCCCATCCTGGGCAGAACAGACTTGTACTTGCCCCATTCCAGAATGTCACTTTGATCTTTACTTCTGCTGTTTCTCCTCTGCCAGTGGTAGGAATGTCCCTTCCTGGGCTCATCACCCATTGCGTTATTGTGGTGTTGCCTGGAAAACAATGATGAATATGCATCTGAGTATTTTTAAAAGGCTTATACATATTGCATCTTTCATGCAGATGCCCAGAAAACAGGCTCCGTCATAAATAGGTCATCTATGTCGTGTGGGGGAAAAGTAGGGAGAGGCAAATTAAGTCCAATTCAATTTGAATTGTCAATACAATTTTGACTGCTGAAGCAATACAGTTTGGATGTCCAAATCAGTTTGTCAAACTGAGTCAACCCAATTTATTTATTTTTTTTCAAATTTGGACATCATCAAATCCAATTTTCTGTCAGTATGGACTTGCATCTTTTCATCCCATCCTATCCTGTTTACATACCACTAGCACTGTCAACCACCTAGTGAGTTTGCTTAATGATCTACCTTTTATTACAATGACTGA